AATCCTGCTGTCAGATTAAGTTTTGTGAAGCAGTTTACTTGAAAACCTTGAGTGGTCCCAGTACCTATAAAAGTAAATGCAAAAGTCCTAAAGCGGCATTCTCAACCTCCCACACCTGGCCCCAATCTCTTTCCAATCTCATCTTCTGCCATTTGCCCATGTTCCAACAAGAGCTGCGTTCCCAGAACACGTACCTCCTCTTTGTGTTTCTCTGATTACATGGTCTCCCATACCCGAAATGTCCTCTTAAAACATCTCCACCTGTTCAAACTCCATTATAAAACTGATTCAAAGCACTTACTGGGGAAACTTTCCAGATTCCCTGCAGTTGAACATAAACTCTCCTCTGAAGCTGCCGCCACTTTCTCGCTCATTCTCTCTCTGTCTCTCTTTCAAAGTACTTATCCTCTACCATATCTTGTAGCTACTTTTGGACATTTCTTCTTTCCCCTACTGGACTGTCTTTACTTCCCCCAAATCTCACACCATGAATGACTCACAGCAGGCACTGGTGGAAAAAAATGCGCCAAATTAATGCATGACAAGTATACTCTGTTAAGAACAGAACTTATGCAAAACTCACAAATCCTAAGGCACAACCCCAATTTGAAAATCCTTGAAAAGTTCACAGCACCCTTTGCTGCCTGGGAAATAAAATTTTCTCATTTACAAAGGAAGAAAGACCTTGATAATGTTTTGGCCCAGGAACTTTTTATTTTTTTTAAGTCTTTTTTTTTTTTTTTTGAGACGGAATCTCGCTCTTGTCACCCAGGCTGGCATGCAGTGGCGCAATCTCAGCTCACTGCAACCTCCGCCTCCTGGATTCAAGCAATTGTCCTGCCTCAGGAGGCGCCTGCCACCATGCCTGGCTAATTTTTGTACTTTTTTTTAGTAGAGACAGGGTTTTGCCGTGTTGGCCAGGCTGGTCTCGAACTCCTGACCTCGGGTGATCCACCCGCCTTGGCCTCCCAAAGTGCTGGGATTGCAGGCATGAGCCACCGTGCTCAGCCCACATCTTTATTATGTGTAAATGAAGCTAAAACATATGGATTAAGTCTCCTATAAAGTATACGCAGATTTATAAAAACAGCAAGGAGGCTAGGAAAAATTGTGATCTCCGAAGCAGATTAACTAGGGGCCTTTTTCTAACTCCAAAATTCATCTAGAGCAATCTTGCTTTAATTACACGTTGAAGTTTCCTCTTTGCTTTACTGACTTTCCTGGAGTCAACAATTTTCACATTCCTAGGGAGGAAAAACAAATAACTGAGGAAAAGAAAATGACTTCCTTCTCTTGTCATTTTTCCCCGTCAGAGTCACTTTCAGTGTCACACATAGGCCTCTTCCTTTCCTCCCCCAGTTTAACCCTCCTTTTTTGCCCCTCATCCATTACTGTAATGTTTTCCTTTCTCAGACTACTCTTTTAAACTTTTCCTGTCCTTACTCCCTCTCTCGTTTTCATCTTGTCCTGAAACACTAAGAGGGACTAGATCCTTCCCTCCCCACTCTACAGTCAAATGTTAGGATCCTCTGGAGGGTGCACTTAGGTCAGTTGTCAGGGAAACCTGTGGCTAACATAGATCCAAACATCCATATGAAGTTTTTCTGCACAAGCACCCTTGTCAGCAAAAATATTCTTCCTCAGAGCAGAGCCTGGACTCTGCAGTGAAGTCCAGCTGAGCAGGAACAAAGAGCCAGGAGTGGCAGTAGAAGTGTACAAGGATGAAATGGAAGAGACAAGGCGAAGTAATGGGGAAATTTAGGTTCTCAGAACTGTTAACTAATTCAAACTGACATCCCCCATCTCTAACCCCCCAACCCTGCCACACAACCCTGCTTCCAACCCAAAACCCATGCACACAGTGGAGAATCTGAAACTCGATGTCCATTCCTCCCTTCTGAATAGAAAGCCTGAGCACTTAATGTTGGCTGTGCATTCATAGAACTATCTAGCCACAGAAAGGGAAGAGAAGGAAAACCGAAAGACCTCTGCTTAGCTCTATAAAGCTCTGAGAGCGAGGCCACTTTCGTCTGCTGTAACTATTATAACTGGCTCGCCAACGCTACTGGAAAATTCCTGCAAAATTTATTAACAAGGTGAAAGCGGCACTATCTACTTCCCAGCAGACAAATCATGTACTTATCCCCCCAGTTTCAAAAAGGGAAGAAAACAGGCAGTTGCAGCATGAAATGGAGATCCTTTTATCCAAGACCAAGACCCAGAGCCAGTATTTTCACAAATAAATTGCATAAAAGTTTCCTAATTAGGATGTAATCAAATGATTGTTGAGCTACTGTAACATTGTTTCAAAGCTTGTAGTCTAATTATTCTTCTTTCTAAAACTGAATAGTAGTCATCTTTCCATGAGCTGTCTGGATGGATTAATGCACACTAATGAGGCTTAATGACAGTTTGACAGGATCATAAAAGGAGGCATAAATTCACGACCACTGGCAAAAAAAAAAAAAAAAAGGCAAAACAAAAATTCTTACACCCATAAACAAGCTGCTTTTACCATAATGGTAAAAAAAATCCCCAATCAGCTTTCAAGCGTATCTTTTCCATGAGAACCAACATTAGCAACAAGCTGGAACTGCTCCAGCAAACAGCCAATGCAACAAGTACCCAAGAAATACTCTTGCTATGCCTTCCCCAAAGGGACTACATTTCTGTTTGCCTGTCTCTTTCCCAGTCCTCCAACCCCCTCAAGATGCATTGAATTCATTATTTCATTCCATAAATATTAACTGAACACCTAATATGTACCAGGTATTACTATAAGTCGACAAAAAGATCTCTGGCCTCAAAGATCTTAGCAGGGAGAAATAGACAAGTAAGAAAATAAGTTATGTAACATGTTAGACTGGGGTACGTTTATGGGATCCAAGTTCCAAAACATGGCTTCCACCCCCAGATGACGACCTGCTTTCCCACAGGAGCTGGAACATTCATCTGCACATCCGGCACCTACTACATGTCTGGCATATGATGCAATCTCAATTTTAAAAAACCTTTTAATAAACAAATGAATGACCAAGCATTCTAAGAGTTTTCCAGCTCCCTATCTTAGAGGCAGAAGTCAGGAATGTTATTAGCAAAGTACTCATCTACGGTGACTGAATGAAGAAAAATATATATATATAAATTCTTGGAAGAAAATAATGTGGTTTTTAAAGTCATGTTTCCCCTTGATTACAGAGAAACAAGTAAGAAAGCAAGTCACTTAAGAGATTATTCATTTTAAACCAGAAATACTTAACCTACAGTCCACAGATTCAGGAATGCAGGTGAGCCCACTGAAATTGTGAAAACAATTAAGGGGAAAGAAGGATTTATGTGCATTTATCTGGGTTACTAACAAAAGGGTTAACAACTTGTCAGCTTCTCAGTGGTCTGTGATCTCAAGAAGATTGAAAAGTACTGCCCTAAAGAATAAGTGTTTTTAAAAACTATATTTACATCCTTATAAAAATAAAGGTACACTTTTAGCTATGAGTCACCATCATCATTTTTCTTAATAAGTGGAAGCTTTACTTTGAGGGGGCTTGAGACAGCGGGAGAGAGGCAGGCCCTCAAAGTGGTCCTAATTGAGAACAGCACTCCAAGAGCATCCTGAAACCATTTTTTCCATATGTTCCCCCATAGATTATCTCACCCCTACTTATAAATGAAGCCCAGTTAAACTGAATAGACACCAGCTCCTTGCAACTCTGAATTCAAACACAAACTGGCATGGGCCAGCTCTAACATCAACAAATGCCATACTCTCAGAATGCTTGGTCACTCATTTGTTTATTAAAATGAGAAATGTTTTAACTCTTATGAACAAAACCTTCTCAAATACTAATGAAAACTTCTTTCGTGTTCCAGACTGAAGTCCTCTCCTAAGTTCTTAAGAAGAGACGCTTCCTCCCTAGATCAGCAGATCTTCTTGCTGGCTACTTATCAGAATTCTTGGGAAGGCAAAAATTTAACAGAATACACACAGCTATGCAGCCACTTAAAAGAGTCCCTCAGGTGGATTTTCAGGGTTGAAAATTATTGCTCTAGATTGGGGGATCTGCAAGGCTTTTCTGTAAAGGACCAGACAGTACATAGTTTTGCCTTGCGGGCTATCTGGTCTCTTGTAATTACCAGACTCTTTTGTTGCATTGTAAGAGTAGCCATAGACAATATGTAATCAAGGAGAAAATAACAGTAATTTGGGAAAGTGACCCCAAAGTGACAATCATGAACAGTACTTATTTCTAGTAGTTAATATGTCGAGTGGGTATGGTGGGAGGGAAGAGTATATTAAAGCAGTTTCTGCTCACCCCAGTGTGGATCTCCTGAGTCAACCCCATCCACCACATCCCAGGAATATGTACCCTTCCCTGCTGCCCAGATGCAATGCCTAAGCCTATTTGAAGAGTTTACCCTTTCCCAACTTCTCCTCCTTTATGTGCCATTCACAACAGCTAGGTGTAACCATCTTTGGAAGGCAGGCAACTTTCCCAGGTGCAGAGCAGGGGCTGGCCTTGCTGCCCCTCAACCCCTACTCTCAATGATGCTCATGGTCTTCTGGCCCCATCTCACATCCTTTCAACCTTATTTGCCTTATTTTCTCTTGTAAGTTGCAAAGCCCTAACTTGCTCAAGAGTACAGAGTTGTTGTGCCACATGGAATTTGAGTGAGAAATCCAAAGATGGGAATAAAAGCAACAAAAGTCCTAAACAGTTCACAATTGCCTTGATACTCACTTGCATCTGGATTAAATGCTTCTTCATTAAACCAGTGAGATAACAAAAGACCAGATAAATTTCACATTTATGGAACTCCATCAGAAGATAGAAGCTCAATGAGAACTTCTTAGAACCAAGTTAATCATAGTGAGAATAAAAGAATTTTTTTAAAACAGAGAGAGAGAGAGAAAAGGGAAATCTAAGAGGATCATTGTGTAGTACATGGTGACAAGCCAAAAACAAAATCTCTTAAAGAAAAAAAAAAAAAAAGAATTTTACCTTTTCATGGTTCTCAATTAAGATTTCCACAACAATATTCTGAAACTTCAAGTCCATGAGGGCAGCGACAGTTTCTTCCTGTGGCCTCATCAGAGTTGGTCCAAACACCACTCCTAAGTTTGCCACGGTCATCAGGTTCTGCTTGGAGTGATTTGAAACGCTGAAATTGGTAAGGGGGGAGGAATCTGTTTAACCAAAGGAGCAAAAATTGTAGACTGTAAATAGTCTGCAACTCTGTATTTCCTTAAAAGCAAGGGGTCAAGAGACTTAACCGTCCTCAACACCTACCTCTGAAATAACCAGATCTGAGAAACTCTCCATGCAGACGCTGCTGCCTACTCCTTTACCTCCCTTTCTTTGATGCTCTACTCTAACCACAATGGCTTTCTTAATAATTCCATGTACAGTGGGCCCTCTGTATCCCCTGAGAATTGATGTCAGAACCCCTGCAGACACCAAAATCTGGAGATGTTCAAGTCCTACAGTCAACCCAGGAAACCCACGGATTAAAAAAAAAAAAAATCAACCCTCAAGTCCACAGGGAATACTGTATTTCTGATCAGCAGCTGGTTGAATCTGCCTATGCAGAACCCACAAAGGGCCAATTGTAGGTGCTAAGCTTGCTTCCCCCAAAAGCCTTAGTTTACTGTTCCCCTCTTCTTAGAAAACTCACTCTTTCCCCAGAATATTATACTTTTGCTTCCAAGGAATACTAGACTGCAGAGTCCCCTTGTAAAAGCATGCAAAGTTTGGTCAGAGCACCCACAATCACTCCTTCAGCCCAGTATCATTGTGCAGTCAATCACCTAGACAACTGTTCTCAGCAGCCCTGCAACTTTACTCAGGTCTAAACTCAAAGATACCATCTTCAAAAAGCCTTTGCATAATAACAATTTTTATAGTCTCACACTCAATATATTCTGGCCCCTTACTCTGCTTTGTGTTTCTGCCACTTATCATCTGAAGCTATTTTATATTTTCATTTGTAATCTGGTTTTCATATTTTCCCCTTAGAAAATAAGCTTCATGAAAGTTGGGACTTAGACTATCTTATTCAACTATGTATCCACCAGCACCTAAAAAAGGCATTCACTAAATATGTGTTGACCAAATGAATAAATGGCTAAACTAGCAGTGGGACCCTTGGCAAATCACAGTATCTTCTGACCTTCATTTTCTTTCTATGTAAAATAAAGGTTCTAAAATACAGCGTTCTTCAGCTTCCTTTCACCTCTAAAATTCTACAGTTAGAAAGATCTCTATACTTAAAGAAAGGGATAATTTCTCCCCTGATTTGATTTTGCTGACTTTTAAAAGGAGGAGGAAAAGAGAATGAAATCTATAAAATAACTACCCATTATTGAATTAAGCCAACTTAAAGGACATGTTCAAACTTAGAGTTAGGTAGGTGTGAAACCAAGCTAAATATTCTAACAAATTTATATTCACATTTCCAGAATCTGTGTATAGGGTAATGTATAACATTCTCCTCTTTCACTTCAAATCAAACCCTGAGTTGCTGGCAGAGATGTTAAGCAAATAATTATACAACTTCATGAAAGCATATTTCAACAGTCTTGTCCAAAATACACACAATGAGTCAAACATCCAGCCTGCCCTTCCAGGTGTGGTCCCCAGTTCCACCCATCACAAATCCCAGAGCACGACCCAGCACCTAGAGCAAAGTGAAGAAAGTTAAAAGGAAGAAAAAGAGGCTTACTTTGTTAAGTGTTTCACCAAAATGTCCAACATCTCTTTATTCTTCTCTGGCAGTTTGTGTACCAAGAAATGGATCGCATTAACCCGAGATTCCGGGCTGCCGCTTTCTTCCAAAAAAAAAAGAAAAAGTAAAAGAAAACAATAGTTAGTAGAGAACTCAGAATCAAATATATTTCCCAAGCAAACAATGACAACAGCTCCTCTGTTCAAGATTATCAAACATGGAGCATTAAACATATTTTGCCATCTTTAAAAGGAAAAAAAAAAATCTTTCCCCTTATAATGAATCTTCTTGTGCCTCCCCTAATGAGCTAATGTCAGTGTGGCTGCAATCGGTGCCTTCCCCTTGGTTTATATTACAGAATGGACAGCTGCTAAGCTTCTCCTTCTGACATGCTGCGTTTCATGTCTGTTCATCGTTTACTCGATGGGGTCTAGTCACTGGGTCACACCACAATGGAATACAAGTAAAATATCAGCAAATAACCTATTCCATGTTACAGGTTGAACTGGACTCCCCCGCCCCCAAAAAAAGTATGTTGAAGTTCTAGCCCTTAGAACTCAGAGTGTGGCTGTGTTAAACTGTACGTGGGATTTAATGTCATCAGGTATGCTAAGGCATGCATGAAAATGACTGTCAGGAAAAGTTTAGATTCACAGAGCCCTAGAAACAGACGGCATGGCATGTTGTGCAGAGCCATGTGGGGAAGCACCAACGTCGATCGAGAAGCAGAGGGAGAACGGGGAATGTGGGCAAAGCCTCTACTGTAGTTTCTGCAGGAAGGAATGGGCGAGGCAGGGTGCGCAGGTCGAGGACTGGCTGGTTTAAATTACTTCAGTGGGCACTGCGTTGCAAGGGCTGTCCCTAGTTGCTGGCACTCGGGACTGAAGTCACAAGGGCAGGAGAATACAGCCTAGTGTAAGGGCTCGCAGAGGAGGCTGGCGCGGAGGGGGGTCACGGGGTTTTGGATTGGATAATTCCATGTGAAAAGCCTGCAGAAGTTTAATATCTCCAGGAATTGGCTAGCCCTGGGAGGGGCAGCTTCCTCGGGTCAGTGAGGCCCCGGATGTCAAAACATCAGAATAAAAAGGCGTGCTTAATACACGACCTTATTTGGGAAGAGAGCTGTTGCAGATGTCAGTTCAGATGAGATCATAACTGAAGTAGGGTGGGGCCTCTTCATCCAATATGACTGGTGTCCTTATAAGAAAACAAAGAGAGGGATAGTGGCCATGTACAGACAGCACAGGGGACATTGTCCTGCCACAGCAGAGGCAGAGGCAGAGGCTGGAATGAAGGACCCACAAGCCAAGGGATGCTAAAGACTGCCAGCAACCACCAGAAGCTATGAGTGGCAAGGAGGGATCCCTCCTACGGCCTTCAGAGGGAGCACGGCCCTCCCAACATCTTGATTTCAGACTTCCAGCCTCTAAGAATTGTGACGGAATAAATGCCGATTCTTTGAAGCCACTTGGTTAATAGTAGTACTTTGTTCCAACAGCCCTGGGAAACTAACCCATTCCCTTAACCCCCAAACTTTGGAATTATTATACGTGGCTCTTATTAACAGTGTACCCCAATTCCCTTTATTGTGTTCTTGATTGGAAAACTATCAAATCAATAAAATGTTTGTTATTGAAGATTTTGCTAGTTTTCACAGGTGTCAAAGAAGCAACAAAAGAGAATTAGGTTCTAACTTTACTGCTGACAGAAAAGAAGGTTAGAAATGGCTTCGGAGGTTCACTTAGGGCTGGCCAGGGAAGCTCAGGAAGGGTCTCATAATGGACAGTCCTTGAAGTTTGGGTCCTGAAGAATGGGGAAGGGTTCAAGGAAAGGCAGGACTGAGAGGCAGGGGGAACATTCCAGATTCAGTAATAGCATGACAAAAAGCACAGGGCCGGTGCGGAGACAGCTCTTACGAAAGGTAGCCTGAGGCCACCTCTGGTCTGCAAAGGCCAATATGAAGAAGTTGTCTCACTGTTGGCTTCTAAATTAGTCAAGTGAAAATAAAACAAGAAAGGGATATGAATAGAGTTAAATTTGGGGAAGATATGCCTCATATTTTTTTAAAGGATGGATTAGAATGGGAAAAAGAACTAGTTAGGAGGGAACAGTTATTTGGGAGACAAGAAATAAGAAATGAAAGGAGGGGTGGCCAGGCATGGTGGCTCATGCCTGTAATCCCAGCACTTTGGGAGGCCGAGGTGGGCAGATCACTTGAGGTCAGGAGTTCAAGACCAGCCTGGCCAACATGGTGAGACCATCTCTACTAAAAATACAAAAACTAGCCAGGTGTGGTGGCACGCACCTGTAATCCTAGCTACCCAGGAGACTGAGGTGGGAGAATTGCTTGAACCTAGGAGGCAGAGGTTGCAGCGCCACTGCACTCCAGCCTGGGTGATAGCGAGAGACTCCATCTCAAAATAAATAAATAAATAAATAAATAAAGGGAGTGAGGTCGGTGGTAGAACTACAAAGAGGGAGGTAGAACAAAGAAGTATAGATGCCCTATGATTTACAATGGGGGGACATCCCAATAAGCCCATCGTAAAGTCAAAAGATTGTATGTCAGGACCGTCACTACACCTGGGAATCGCTGCTTCTAACTGATAGCTGAGTGGTCTTGAACAAATTACCTAACTAACCTCTCTGTGCCTCAGCTCCCTCATGTGCAAAATGAAAACAGTATCTTAAGAGGCCATTATGAGATTCAATGCCATAACATACACAAAGCACTTAGCCTCCGTGGCTGGCACGTGTGGGCACTCAATCACTGTTAGCCATTATTACTGTTGTTGTTCATGTTACTATTATTATTTGAGCACTACCATGGAAGAAGCAGAACTGACAGGTTTTAGCAGCAGACTAGCAGTGGGTCAGAAGGAAGAAGGCAGAGATGAGCAGTGTTTCACATCTGGGTTGTCTGATAACAGGGCCAATTCCACCAACAGACAGAAACATAGCAGCCAAAGCTGTCTTGAGGAAGGAGATGATGGTGGAGGGAATGGAGAAAGTGACATTCAAATGGCTGGTCTCTAGCAGTAGATGGAAACAGTAGGAGGCTTTAGAGATCAAGGCTAGAAACGTTCTCCAGGAGGTGTGACCACTAGCTCATGGACAAAGCTGCCCAACTTCTACAGAAAGCTAACTGAGGGCACTGCGGGGAAAAGGGCTCCAAAGAGGTACAGGGAGACGTGAAGTCAAGGGCTAAGACAAGCAGGCAATGCAACCAAGGAGGAGGAGGAGGAGGAGGTGGGAGGATCAGGGAACTTTGATGTCATCAGGAAGGCAACTGAGAAGAAACCTGCAAAGGCTGGGCACAGCCAGTGGACTCGAGAGTTAAGGAGAGGTCAAGGAATAGAAAGACTGGGAGAAGGGCCCTGGGTATCACCAGGTTTATCAACTGAGAGCCCCTTTCTACTAAAATGAGGAGGTTAAACAAAGAGGGAGCTGCTGGAGAAGGGGTGAAGAGTGGGAGTTCAGAACACTTGCTCAGAAAGTAAAAAACAAGAGAATGGGAAAGAGAGGTAAAGCAGATCAAGAAAGGGACATTTTTTTTTTCCAAAGGATAATAGTTTTTTTCCTTATGACAAAAATTAAATACTTGTAATACTAAAATCTTGGACAACACAGAGAAAATGACCTTAGTATAAAGTACTAAGTATCTGAAATATATATATATGAGAAACAGCATGCAATCAGATTAGAAAGAACTACAAACCAATCAGGGAAAAAAGAGACAATCTAACAGACAAATGGGCAAAAGACTGGGGCAGGAATTTCACAAAAGATTTATTCCTGTGACCAAAAAACCTATGAAAACAGAATAAACCTGTAACGGTGAAACAGAAATTAAAACCACAATGAAAGAGTAATATTCACCTGCCAGAATGGCTTTAAATGAATACTAAGCTTTGGCAAGGACATGAGGCAACTGAAACTTCCATATGCTAACTAGATGGGAGTCATTAAAGGGTTCAACCACTCTGGAGAACTGTTCGGCAGTTATCTACTAAAGCTGAACAAACACATGCCCTATGACCGACCCAAAAATTCCACTCATAGGTATATAACCAGGAAAAATGCACATAAACACGCATTAAAAGACACATACTCCTATATTCACAGCAGCGTTCTATTAGCCCAAAACTGGAAACCACCCAAATGTTCATTAACAGTAGAACAGATAAATCTATTGTGGCTTCTTCAAACAGAATGCAATGAAAACGAAGGAATATTTCACACAACATGGATGACTCTCACAAAATGAGTAAAAGAAACCAGCTACAGAAGAATATACTCTGATTCCATTTACATAAAGTTCAAATGCTGCAGCCCCAACCTAGAATGTCAGGAGAGTGATCACTCTTCAAGGGAGTGGATAATGACCACATGGGCACGAGAAAGGGCTTCTGATGATGTTTGATTGCTTGATCTGGGGCTGATTATGCGTGAAAATTCATTAAGCTGTATACTGATTTGAGCCTATGTTATATTTCAACAAAAAGTTCACTTAAAGCTACCCATGATAAATCTCATCCTAAAATAAACTGGTAAATTTTAAGTATAAATCCTGCAGAGTTTTCCTTCCTTTTTTTTGTAATGAAATGCCTAAACAACCTATTTTATTTTATTTAATATATCATGGACATTTTTCAGTATCATTAAATGGAGCACCTTACCATCGATTTTATGAACACTTAGATTGTTTCCAATGTTTGTAAAGATAAGGTTGTTCCAGTTTACACCCCTAATAAGTGTTTGAGAATGAGAAATGATACTTTACAATAGAGGACACTAAGACAGTTGTTGCTAAAGAGAAAGGATGCAAAAAGGCTAAGAAATTAAAAGGCACGTAAAGAACACAATCACCAAAAACAAAAACACAACTGTCAAAAGGATTAGGTAATAAATTATAACCCAGTTCTTAATCTGGTATAAAAACCAAGATATTAATCAACACTGGCAAAAATAAAAACAGTGTAACAATTTCAGTTCACAGCTTTGATTTTTAAAAATAGAATTAAAGCAGAGACTCTGCAAAATAGTCGAAATTCCAAAGGAATAAAAGGACAACCACTGAGGATAAGAATGTTACACTGCAAAAATTAAAAACTTTGGAAAACTTTGCACTAAAAACCTACTACTAACTTGTGAGTCTATCTTGCCATTAATAATGATCTTTTTCCAGTGACAACCTAGTTTAAATATTTTAGGATTCATTATTTAGAAACACAAGCTAGAGAAAGTTTCCCACACTCTATGAATTACATTCTTCATTTCTCAAAATAGTGAAATTGATTTTGAAAAATAGAGTCAAAACCTTTCACTATCTTCAGTGCCTCTCCTGCTAGCCCGTCCTCATCTATTTTAAAATCACACATCCATTCCTGCCAAGTCTTTTTCCCTCTTCTTCTTCTTCTTCAAAAAATATACTCTAGGCTTTTAAAATAAAACCATTTTTTTCTCTATTTTGTTTTGAAATTAATCAGAGCTTTCTATTAGCAAGTATTTCTATGTAGCTACAACATAATACCTTAAAGGTACTCCAAAAAAGTTTTTGAAGATAAGTCATCTAAAGTTGCTTATGCTAACACAATTTATTTTATTTTAATTGCTAGTGATTGACAAAGAATGAACAGCCAGTTTACCTTTAAAAAAAAAAAAAAACTAGAGTACTAAATTAATCATAATACCAAATTCCTGAAATATGCCAGGGAATTAGGAGCTTACTGTAGTGGAAAAGGCATTTTAATTGTGTAACTACAAATCAGCATCTACCACACTGTAATGTCCATCTGCTTATGATGCTGTGCCAACTAACAGAAACTGAAAAAGATGTGATTGTAGAGCTTATCAAAGACACAAGGCAGATAAATGCTAAATTATTTCAATATTGAAATGTCAAAAGTCGATGATACTGTAATTTTAGAAAGGCATTAGCAGTAACCATCCAAGCACTTCCCAAGGGATAAAGGGCTTCAGTCAACAGACATCAAGTGTTGCATTTCTCCTGTGGCGTTCGCATCTACTGTGAAATGAATACATCAGGCTAAGAGCGAGGCATGCCACTAAGCATTCAGTTCCCTTAATTCCTGGGTTCCTGAGCCCTTCCCCAGCAAGAATCACATGATTTTTGTCTTGCTTCCCAGGTAGGTTTATCAAAAAGGATAGAACATTCTGGTTAGGCAAACACCAATGTCTTGGCACAAACACCAATGTCTTGGATCCGATTATAGTTATGCTTCTCATGATAAATAACCAAAGATCTTTGTGGTAATGATTTTGCTTCCCAAGTAACTTGATTACAGGAAGAAAGCACACAGAACATAGCAACATGAGTGTTTTCGTTTAAGTGACAGTGAAGAGTTTTTTCTTCTGATGCAACAGGCATTCAGCCTTTAGTTGTCATTCTCGTACTAAGCACCATGACTCCAACCCTGAGGCATGAGTCCACTCTTATCAACATGATACAGCAAGGACTTTGAGGCCAAAAGGCTGACACACAGATCATGGCTTACACATCGTTCTCAAAGGTAACACACATCACGCAGTAAGACATCCAGCTAGACGCCTGCCTGCTAGCCTTCCTGTAGTGGACACAATCTTTTGTATTCCTCATGGACCAGTTAACTGCCTTTTCGTCTTACAAATTTCCATGTCCAAAGTCCATTATAGTCTCCCCCAAGATGGATCATCTACTAGGTTCCTTTTATAAGTTTAGTTTGGAATTCAGCTAATGGAGAAAGTTACATTAACTCTTAATTTTCTCAAAGAAAAAAATTTTTTAACTTTTCCAATGCAGTCAACCTTTGCCAGAAGTAAGTTGCTTTTTTTTTAGAAAAAGGAACATAAAAAAAATGTGCCTTTTGTGGTGACAAAATAGAAACGAAATTTATATTTGTATCATGAACCCTAGAAATTAACACGGAGGTTCACGACAGGAAACTACAGGAAAGAAACTGATGAGAGAAAATGATGGGACCAGGAGAAACCTTGAGAGCTCTCAGCAGGGAGGGCAGAAGAGAAGAGACTATCTCATCGCCACAGAACAGATGGAAACCACTGCACATGACTGAGAAGAATCAAAAATTAGTTTTCAAGCTGGTGTGAGAGGTGGTAACAAAGACTGCTGATGCTTTGTAATTTTAGCAGTCAGTTCAGCTAACAGACACGAGCAAAAACAAGGTAAGCTGTCTCGGTGTTCACAGAAAATTACAGCTTAATCACAATCCCGATTTTCCAACAGCATTCAAAAGGGGAGACTAATTTTGGCCACCTGATTTCCGTAACTATTTCATTTGATACTTAAAAGTCCATATGCAAAAGATCAGGAAGATCTGTTCCCACACTCTCTAAAAGAGGCAATGAGTGCAGAGAAGGGTACTCAAGAGATTAAAATAAAAACTTGAAGTCTACATTGGAAACGTTGGCCCCTAAAATACACCTATTTAATACATGTACTTTTTCTCATTAAATCAAGTTACTACAGGTCCCATTCCAACCATAACGGCACTTAGGTGCAAATCCATGGCAGTGATTACAGTAGAAACACTGACCGTCCTGTTATCCAAATCGCTGTGAAGACTATCACAGCATTCCCACAAAGTCAGGAAGCAAAACACAAGGTATTGGTCCAACAGGTGATGATCTTGTCTGCATTTCTACAATCCTTTTCACCACTCTGCTCAAAGATGCCTTCAACAAAGTCTTTAAACTTATTTTCTACCACCACAGATTTTATTACCTCTTAAGATGTAAGCTCCTAGCTCTTAGGAACTTCTTCATTTGGTAAAACACATTGATATTCAAATTTCAAAAACACTGCCATCAGTAAAGGGGCATGATGATAATACTAATGATTGTGGTCATTTAAAACCGTATTCCATAATTACTTTATCTTTCTCTAATTCTCAAAGGATTCTAGATTAAAATTGGCACTCTTCTGCTGTTTCCAGTCTCCAAGGCAAACAACATGAAACAACTGTCCTCCAATTAAGTTTAATTTCTCTTTCCCCAGTTTGCCAAAAATGCCACAGGGAAGAAATCAAAACAACTAAGCATTTACTTGAGTTTTTGCCGAGAAAATTTTCCCCCACTCCCTTGATCTCACAAATTCTCTTTTTAAAAAAATCCTCTCCCCATGTGAAAACAGAAGTGAATAGAACCCAGTTTTTGAAAAAGCCTATTTTCTATGTAGAGTCTAATGGGGCCTACACACTACTTCTTCCTGCAACACAGAAGGAACCTTTACACTGGCTGGACCAGGGACCTCACAAGAAGGTAACATTTAAAGCAATGTTCAGGCAGCAGTAACATTGGTCCCAATGGGAATGCTCTAAGTTTTTCAACAGATTAAACTATGGAATACATCCAAGAGGAGAAAATAAAAGGAAATGAAAATACAATTACAGCTACTGTCAGTGCACCTGTGAAAACCAATACTGCAGGTTTTAACTCGTGGAACTAGGGTTCTGAATTTTAAATAAGGCTCCCTATAATCTGGCAAGTTACTTAACATGTATCAACCTTCATTTCCTTCACTATTAAATACCTAACACCAGTGTACTTCAGAAGACTATGATGATTAAACAACACGCGTCAAATATAAAAAGTGAGCCATATAACAGAAAACAAGAAAACCTCAAATGAGTATGACTCACAAAAAAATCAATCACAAAATTCCACCAACTATAGGCCTTTTTCATTTAACATTTGATCGAATACTAGTCACTCTGCATCAAATACTGTTTGGGGTTCTGGCATTATCTCATAATCTTCCTTCTGTCTGTAATTTAGATCTGAGTATCTCTCTATGTGAAGCCATCTCCAAACTACTAATCTTTCCAAATCTTCTCATCTCCCCAACCTTTCATAAGTTAAATACTTCTGTGTTCCCTCAGCATTTTGCTCATGCCATTATTGTACATTTTCTAGTATAATGAGGAGTAAGTAAGGCCCAGTACTTGCTATGGAATTGTCTCATGGAGACAAGAATCCTGTCTTGGCTTTACATATCCAGTAACATAGTAGGAAATAATTAATGCATGTGAACAAATGAATGAATATACTGTCCCTTTTAGTCACCTTCTAAGGATAGGGGGAGGGACCAAACATCATTTAAAGTGATTTCTATTTTTAACACAAATTGCAGTAACAACAAGTTGAATTTTTCATATGGAAATTTTTAGTTGATGCTCCCTACCAACTACAAAACTGTTCCTATGACCTTTACATAATACTTACTGGCTGGAACAATGAAATCTCCATGTAACTCATAGGTCATGAGAGGCTCTGGAAGGCTCCTGTGTGAAAAGAACAGCTCAGAATTATCAAATAAATCCAAACAAGTCACTTTTGAGTTTTTTTATGAAAAGATGTCAAATTTGTTATGCATTTCTTAATTAATGTGTAAAACTTCCCTAGGGAATATCTTTACATATCAAAAAAGATACATAAATCGAACAGATCACTTTATCAACTGCTGTTGACACCAAGCACTAACAAAGCCTAAGCAGCCACAAATCCCTACTAGACCTAAGCATACAGTATTTCATATCTAATCTCGGACAGTACCTTTGTGAACATCTGGTTTGATATATAAGACTTCCTTCTACACATTAATGTATTTAAAGCCAAACATACTATCTAATCAAATGTAAGCAAACAATTTTGAAACATCATCCCTAAGATATTAGCTGAAGATTCCACAAAAAATACATAGAAAACATTAAACAAACTCAAATCCTCTCTGCTTAAATATATTACAAAAATAAGAATTTATCTTCATGCCTATGAGAGATGAAATAAAATTGATGACAACTTTAAAAATATACACAGCATTTTCATAGTCTACAAAACAAGTTACATAAGGTAGTTTATTTTATCCTGTGATCAACAGAATGCTACAGTTCAGTCCACCTTGCTACATATCTTAAAATTATAAAAGACCAGAGCAACTAGCTTTATAAACACTTAAAGAATACCTAGACAAGTGTCAGTCTGTACAGCCTTTCTGGAGGGTAATCTCGCAAGATATTAAGAACTTTTAAGAGGTTACAATCCTGTAACTCAGACATTCTGCTTCAAATTTTTTTTAAAAATCAAAGATGCACAAACAAAATTTTTTAACATATGCAAAGCCAAGAATATTGCCAGGAATAAAGAAGGCCACTTCATATTGACAAAGTGTCAACTCGTCTTGAAGCCAAAACAATACTAAATATTAATAGATCTAATAAGAGAGCCCCGACACACTCAAAGGAAAAACTGACAGAACTACAAGGAGAAATGGGCAAATACACAACTATAATCAGAGATTTAAATACCCCTCTGTTTCAGTAACAAGTAGAAAAATCAGGATACAGAAGATTTGAACAAAAATATCAACCAACTTAATCCAATCGGCATGTCCTTCACCTAAATGACACTCCACTCAAAAGCAGAACACACATTCCCAGCACATACAGGCCATTTATTTTCCAAGATGAACCATATTCTGGGCCATGAAACAAATCTCAAAAATAAAAAGGGCTTAAGTCATACAGAGTTTCTTCTTTGATTACAACAAAAATTGAATTAAAAATCAGTAACAGAAAGATAGCTGGAAAACTCGAAAGAGAAGCTAGAAAGTATTCTGAAATGAATGCAATAAAAGCACAACATATTAGAATTTGAGGGATGTTGGTAAAGCAGTACTAAGAGGAAATTTTATGCTACTAAACACCTATATTAAAAAAGAAGAAGGGTGGTAAACCAAGGACTTCATTTTGTACCTTAATGAGCTATGAGGGAAAAAAAAAAGTGTAAATTAAGCCAAAGTAAGCAGAAGAAGAGAAATAAAAATCAAGCAGAAATCCATGAAATAGAAAACAGAAAAATAGAGAAAATAAATTAATCCAAAACCGTATCTTTAAGATAATTAGTAAAATTGATCAATCTAGCCAGAATGATTAGGAAATAAAAGAGAGAAAATAAACAATGCCAGCAATGAGAAAGGTGACTACAGAATCAGTGCAGATTCTGAAGTTATCAAAAATAAAATACTATGAACAATTTTACGCCCATAAATTCAACAATTCAGATGAAATGGACAAATGTCTTAAAAGACACAAGCCACCAAAGTTCACTCAAGAAGAAACAGATAACCTGAGTAGTCCTATTGAATTTGCAATTAAAAATATTGCCAGTTAGAAAACTAGGGCCAGATGATGTCACTGAATGAATTCTACCAAACAATTAAGAAAGAAAAACTACTGATTCTATACAAATTCTTCCATAAAATAGAAGAGGGAATAATTTCTAACTCATTCTGTGAGGTAAACTTTATACTAATATCAAAGTTAAACACATTATGAGAAAGGCCTTATGAGAAAACTACAGACCAATATCACTCATGAACATAGATGCAACTATTCTTAATAAAATGTTACTAAATCAAATTCCACAAGATAAATAAAATAATATATCACAAGTTGGGTTTATAACAGGAATATTATACTAGCATAATATCTAAAAATCAATATACTTCACCAAACAAAAAGAAAACTGTATGATCATATCAATAGACAATTTAGGAGAAATACCCTCTCCCACAAATTGTACTAGAACTACTGGAGATCCCCATGCAAAAATGAACTTGAATTCATACCTCATATCTTATGTAAAAATTAACTCAAAATGGATCATAGAACTAAGCGTAAAACCTAAAACTGTAAAACTTACAGAAGAAAACTTTTGTGACCTTGAATAAGTGCAAAGATTTCTTAATATAGCATCGAAAGCACAGTCCATAAAAAGAAAAAGTGATGAACTAGACTTCATCAAAATTAAAACTTCTCTTTGAAAGACACCTATTGAGAGAATGAAAAGAGAAATCACAGAATGAAGAAAATATTTGCAAAGCAGGTATCTAAGAAAGGACTTGTACTCAAAATATATTTTTTTAACTTTTAAAACACAATAATATCACAATCTAAGTTGTAAAAAATTGGGCAAAAGATATGCACAGACACTTCACCCAAGAAAATATATAAACGGAAAATAAGCACATAGAAAAAAAGTTCAACATTACTAGTTATTAGGGAAGTACAAACTAAAAGAACAATGAAATACTATCAAATACCTGTTAGGATGGCTAAAATGAAAAAGATTGACCAGCTTAAGAGTTGGCAAGAATGAAAAGGAAATGGAACTTTTGTACAGTGTTGGTGAGGATGTAAAGAAATACATCAACTTAGGAAGAAAGTTTGTTAGTTTCCCAAAAAGTTAAGCATACACTTACCACATGATCTAAATATTCCACTCCTGGGATTTATCCAAGAGAAATGAAAGCCTATGTCCACTCAAACATAGGTATATGAATGCTTTTAGCAGCTTTATGTGCAATAGCCAAAAGTTACAAGCAAGTTAAATATCCTTCAACAGATGAACTGATTTTTTTAAATGCTGGTTTATCTATAAAATCATCCATTAGTTAGCAGTGAGATGGAATGAACTGGTGGTATATACTACAACATAGATGAATCTAATTATTCTAAGTGAAATAATACTGATTTCAAGTATACGCTGTATAATTCTATTTATATAAAATTACAGGAACTGTAAAGTAACGTATCAGTAGATGAGGCTACTTCAGTGGGGTGAGAGATTTCAAACAGTAGGAGGAAACTTTTGGGGGTAATAATGCATAGGGTCACTATCTTGATTATGGTGTTAAGTTTCAGAGGTACACATATATCAAACTTATATGCAGCTTATTGTATGTCAACTATGTTTCAATAAAGCTGTCTTAAAAAAACAAATAAAAATAGGCCAAGCATGGTAGCTCACACCTGTAACCCCACTGCTTTGGGAGGCCAAGGCGGAAGGATCATTTGAGGACAGGAGTTCAAGACCAGCCTAGGCAACAAAGTGAGACTCTGTCTCTATTTTTTTTTTTAATGTTTTGAAAAGAAAATTGAAAAATCAAAGAAAAAAAATGTTTAGGTACATATATTCCTTACATACAATTTATAATGCTATAGTCACATACAAACACAAAATGACAACCAGAAACTAAAATATAATGCACGAGTGAAAAAGTCCTGCTCTTATTTCCCCTCCCTCTCCTTTTCCCCACACTCCCATTTCACCAAGAAAATGGAAAAAAAAAAAAAAAATCAACTATACCACAGGCTAAATAAGGAGAAAAAAGGGCCAATGCAAAGTAAGTCTTCAGGAGGTTTGTTTCAAAATATGGAAAAGCAGGAGGTAACAAAGAAGAAAAATGGTTATCTAGCAGAGAAGGAAAGTTAAAGGGTGCTGAAAAGAAAAGCGGGGTTGGTCGGGGGGATTGAGAACCCTTAGAAAAACATTTCTTTTCCGATAAAAATGAATTTGTATCTGAATATCTTCTACAAGTTACTTATATCATTGCCATATGTCTAGCTAAGCAATGCAGCGTAAGAAAATAAATATTGTTAACATTAGGGAAGCAGCCATAAAAACGACAAGTTCCCCATACAGAATGTATTATGCTGAGTCACTGCAACTCTCAGCCTCCCACCTGACATGTTTCTGAGCCACCTCTCTTTGCCACTCGTTGGGATCTGTTGGGGGATATAAATCATAATATTTACCTAAGCTTGCATTTCCCTCCCAAAAAGTCCCATTACAATTTCCAGGCTTAAAAGAAGTTTCCTCCAGGTAAAATCATTTGACTAGAAACATCACAAAACCACTCATTTGTCCCCTCACAACAGAAAACTGCTGTAACGAACATGTTTCTGAAAATCAAAATAATGGTCTGCATAGATAAGAAATCATTCAGAGGGCTGGTATTCAGCTCTCTAAAACATGAGAAGTAAAACAAAAAAAAACATTGCCTCAAGTCAGTAGAAGGAAAAGGGAGATGCGACGCATCGGTCCACTGCACATACTTGTCCTTCTCCAAGACCCTGGAGGACCTGCTTCTTGTTTTAGTTTGGTGCTTTGGGGCTCTGGCTGTTTTCCTCCCTCCACCTCCACCATCCCATCCAATAAGATGGCTGGGTTATTTGCAGTGAGAAGAATTCAAGGGCAAGAGCTTTTTTGGGTGAGAAAAGCTATATTCAGCTTCACGCCATGGTGCCGTGAGTGACAGAGCTGGGGCTCCAACCCTGGCAGGCAGGCTGGCTCCAGACCTCCTGCTCTTGACCATCACACTGTATTACCTCTCATGCAGAAAGAAATACACTTGCTTGGGCCAGAACCCTGTTGCCAAAATGGAGGTAGATAAAAACTCAGTTTTATCCCATTTGATGCATCACCAAAATTTTTTTTAAGTGTCAATTAAATCCTAATTACTGCATTTTCCATCGCTAAAAATAACATAGGGGAAAAGAACAGCAACCCAACTTTCAAATCTCCCAAGGCATCTGCCATCTTATGATAATTCACTTTATCACATTCAGGCAGAATGTGTATTTTGTTAGAAGTGAAGTTATATAATAATAACATCTCATAATGTCGTTCTGTAGGCAATGTTTGTTTAAAAGTGTAATTCCATAGGATGAAGCAAGGTAATAAAATAAAAAGGCAGAAAAAGCAACACAAGACCAGGGGCAATAAGGAATTAGCTTCTGCGAATATCAAGATCCAAAAAGAAATCCTATGTACTAAATAAAAAGAGCCTCTAGTTTATTAAACAAATTCCTCCCACACAGCAAAAGAAAAGAACCATATGGAATGGAGAAAAAAGAATGCAATTTATTGCCAAAAAAGGTGGATTTCCAGCCTTAGTTTTCCATCATCTCAGTCAATCCCTTTACCTGCACTGCTACAAGTCTACCAAACAGTAAAATGGATTTAAAGCCATCTCCTAGAGTGGCAGTACTTCTTCTGGTTAACATGTGCAATTCTTCAAGTTAACATGTGCAATTCATTGTATGTTTATACCCCTTACCTACTCTTTCCTGCATCTAATACAGCTTTCTCAGGAATCTCAGAAATATTGACATTTTGAATCAAATAATTCTTTGTGGGGGGAGGGAGGGCTGCCCTACGTACTGCAGGATGTCAGATGCCACCAGATGCCAGGAGCACTGCAAACCAGCAATGGTGAAAATCAATAATGTCTCCAAACATGGCCAAACATCCCACTTGGGGGGCAAAATCATCCTCAGTTGAGAACCACTGTTCTAATTTCTCAGCCACAGGTACAGCTCCAAGTTGCTGGGGATACTGCAGTGAACAAGACTTAAAAGATGCCTATCTTCAGGGAACTTAAATTCTTATCCTAGGGTTGGGAGTAACAAGATTCATTTTTACCATAATCCTCATCTAAACCACAGTTAGTCACTATCAGTGGCAATACTGATATAAGTATACATCCCTTTATCAATTAGGAATAACAATAGTGCACATAATAGTTTAAGAAAAAATTTAGAACAGTGACTGAAAAAATCTTCTTTACATAAAGCACTTGAAAATAGGTAATACATACCTATTACCGAAGGATAAATTTTATATCATTAAAAAGTGGGACAACCATACAACCCAGCCTACCTGATGGTAAACAACAGAAAGAATATACCACCAATACAATGTATTCTTAAAATAAAAGAAAACCTGACTCTAACAAAGCCTATTTGAAAAATCTTTATCTACAGGACACAGGATGGCTAAAGAAACATGTTAAATGCTATCATGAAGACATAATCAAAAATGAACCAGTTCATCAACAAATAAATGCCAGTGGTGGAGGAAGGGAGGAAATGCAGAGATTAAAAGAACCTTAAAACCTATCAACCAAGTGAAATGTTGGCACAGTTTAAATCCTGCAGGATTTAAACCAAATATAAAAAGGCTTTTTTGAAGACTGCTGGTAAAAATTGAACATAGACTGAATGCTGGATATTAATTTTGTTGTACATAATATATTCTGATTGACTTTTAAAAAATTACTCTTTGAGGCCAGGCACGATGGCTCATGCCTGTAATCCCAGCATTTTGGGAGGCCGAGGCAGGCAGATCACGAGGTCAGGAGATCGAGACCATCCTGGTTAACACGGTGAAACCCTGTCTCTACTAAAAAAAACACGAAAAAATTAGCCAGGCATAGTGGCAGGTGCCTGTAGTCCCAGCTATTCAGGAGGCTTAGGCAGGAGAATGGCGTGAACCCGGGAGGTGGAGCTTGCAGTGAGCCAAGATTGCGCCACTGCACTCCAGAGTAAGACTCCGTCTCAAAAAAAAAAAAGAGTTTTTGAGGTACTCAAGTATTTATGGGTACAGTAATATGATGTTTCAGAAAATCTTTAAAGTATTATCTATAAAAAGTGGCAGGTAGATCCCAGCACTTTGGGAGGCTGAGGCGGGTGGATCACCTGAGGTCAGGAGTTCGAGACCATTCTGGCCAACATGGCAAAACCCTGTCTCTATTAAAAATACAAAAAAATCAGCCGGACGTGGTGGTGAGTGCCCGTAATCTCAGCTACTGAGGAGGCTGAGACAGGAGAATTGCTGGAACCCGGAAGGCAGAAGTTGCAGTGAGCCAAGATCATGCCATTGTACTCCAGGCCGGGCCAACAGCAAGACTCTGTCTCAAAAACAGTGGCAGGTAGGAAGATTAATGAATTAAGAAGGATGGAATGTTGATAACTCAAGAAGCAGGATAATAGAGCCATAAGGGTTCATTACACTAACTTCTCATCTTATGTATCTGAAATTTTTCATAATTTTTTAAAAATACAAAATATGTCATATAAAGTTGATTCGAATGTATCCACTGGAACCAAAGTAACTTTTACCTGGAAAACAACCCTATGCATGGTTAAAAAGCACTGTTCCTGAGGCCAGGTATGGTGGCTCACACCTGTAATCTACACTTTGGGAGGCCAAGGGGGGCAGATCACTTGAGGTCAGGAGTTTGAGACCAGCCTGGTCAACATGGTGAAACTCCGCCTCTACTAAAATTACAAAAATTAGCCAGGCGTGGTGTGGCAAGCCTGTAATCCCAGCTACTCAGGACGCTGAGGCACGAGAATTGCTTGAACCTAGGAGGCAGAGGTTGCAGTGAGCCAAGATCGTGCCACTGCACTCCAGCGTGGGCAAAAAGAACAAGACTCCATCTCCAAAAAAAAAAAAGAGAACTGGTCCTAGGTCATTCGTTTGCCATGGAAAATCTAATCTAAGTCCCCAACAGAACCACAGCATATAAAAATTACAGTTGTGATCTTTTTTTATTTTTTTAACTGTCTATATACTTGCTCTTCATCTAACCCTGAGCTTACCATTATTTTCTTTAAAAAAAAAAAAAAAAAAAAACAGTGATTCATAAAAAATGCTACCCTCTCCTAACTCTGTATTTTCTATTATCAATAGAAAACAACTTTATCTTAAAACCTCACCAAGTAAACTTCTTTTCAAAGAGCTTTGCATTGACATGTCATAAGCCTTAAGTTCAAATCATTTAAACTTTAAAAAATCATTTCAGCATAAAATATAAAGACATAATGAAACCAATAAATAGCCTTCATTCCATCATGAGCCTCAACGAGTTGTTTCATAGTGTTTAATTCCTAAAATGTACATCCACAAGAAACGTCTATTTCAAAACCCAAGTCTATGTCAATTCCTGTTCTGTTGCAATTTACTTAGTTACTGATGTTTATCTACCAGTTACCTTTCTTTCTGGGACACTGAGACACCTGAGAAATTTTCCCTTTTTAAAGTAAGGCTTCATTTAAGTATTGATATTTATGTACACAATTGGCATCTGTTGTATGTTACAGACCCCAATAGTCCATTCTTCTATCTTGCTGCTGAGAAGCGCTTACCTCAAATACTGTTTCAGGGCACTTGTTATTGTCTTCACTTCCCAATCTGCAGAATTCTCCAGGTCCACCTCATGGCACGTTTTTACATCTAGTGAGCAAGCAAACAACAAAAAAATAATTAAAACCTTGAACATCAAAGGTCCTCTTGTCTAGCTCACAAAGCTTCCATTTTTAAATGAGCAAACCACAATCCTGCGGTTTCCTAGGAAAACATTATATATACAATTTCTCTAAAATACTACAAGATATGTTCTATGACTAGACACTTCTGGCACTTCAGAAAATCTGTAGTAGAGATCAAAGCAAAAAATAAGAGACGGGTTGGGAGTAAGGAAGAATTAGATATAGTGTATTATTTCAACACCCACAATGTATTTCATGTATAGCTATTATCATCGTTGTTAACAGTATCACTCAGTAGCCTTGGCTTATAGCAAGTGGCACTTTCAGTTGTATGCATATGATTTGTTTTAGGTGGCACTGTTGCTCTCATACTGTGTATTGACAGAGGAAGGAGACAGCCAAATAAGAAGGGTAGAGTCCCCAGAGAACCTCCGACCCACCCAGGTCACTGCGTACATGAGGCTTGCCTAAACATGCCCACAGTGAAAATTTCAGTCTTTAACCCATGCTCAGTAAGGGAAATAAATCAACGTGGAGTGGCTCAGACTAAGGGCCCACATGCACACTGGGGGAACAGGGCGGAGCTACTGGGAATTCCTGCCTTATGCCAAGGAGGAGCCAGACCTCTTCAACTCCTGTGTGGTGGCCTTGCGTTCAGTATGAGAGTTGGGAGCCGGGTGGTGGGACCCCCTCTCTTTGCTGAGAGCTCCCCTTTAGCTCAATAACTTCCACTCTCCTCACCTTTCACTGTGTCCGCATGTCTGATTTTCCCTGGTGGTAACACAAAAACTCGGATTTAGCCGAATCAGGGAGCAAAAAACATCCTGCATCATTATGACACAGAAAATTGCGGGTGGCACCATGAACGGCAAAATGACAATCAGAATGGCAACAAACTGGTGAAAGGATGATAAACTTAGTCTCAGATTTTCAGGATTTCTGTTCATTAGATAATCTTTCTGAAATTAATATATGATCAACCAAAACAGAAAATGACTAGACAGAGACTTAAAAAGTCATTTACAGTTAACCTTTCACATTAACACTATAATATATACACTCATCCGGGAAATATGTACTGGAAGTCTTTGTGTAACACTCCAGACATTCATTCTAACTTAAACTAGTTTTCTTTATCCAAATAGTGCGTACTGATGTGTTTCTTACAAACATCCTTTCAAGTGATAAGTCAATAGGGTTGCTCCTTTATAAAGTAAAAGAAAAAAATTAAATTCAAAATGGCTAGTAAGTTCTAAAGAAAAGGTATGTGGTATCAAGAAAAAAAAAAAAAAAGGAGATGGGAGAGTTAGTCGATTGTGGAAAGGAAAGCGTCAATCCTGGCAGAACTAAAATGAAAGGATGGCAGGAAAGGCAAACCCCTAAGGAGTATGGTGGCACCTTTGACTCTTGTAACTCTGGGCTGGTACACTCAGCTGTGGCATGGTGGCGGGGAGGAGAGCAGCATGGGTATCAAAAAGCTAGGCTTACATGCCTCTAACAACCTGGCCCAGCCATACCACCATAAGCGACTTCCAAACCTATCTGAACTTCAGATCTTCATCTGCACAATGGAGATACTGTAAATGCTCTCACAGAACTATTAAGAGCATCAAGGCAAATGAAGAATGTATACAGATTTCCATAAATAATTAAATGTAGCAGGTTATTACCACTGCTGAGTCACTAAAAAATATAAGCAAGCAGTGATGGTACCTGCCCAAAGGGAGGAGGCAGGAAATGGGTTATGACGAATGATAATGAGCCATCAGTATCAATCTGCCTGGTTTTCTACACGCCTACTATGCAAAGGAGAAAATAAGAGATTCATGGAAAAGACTGTTTCTCCCTCACTCCACGATGATGTCTTAACTAAGACCAAAAAAAACCTAGTTGTTTCAAGGTTTTTTTCCTCCCTTATACTGTATTTGTCTTCATGGAGAAGGAAACATCTTGTTAGTATTTCCTTTTTAAAAACACTAAAAAGAAAAACCTGTCAAAATGGGACCACCACATTAAGTCATGCATGCCACTTAAAAAGTTTTAGGCTTGGGATGATGAAGGGTGGATGATAACTCAATGTTGGGTTGAAACTTTCTGAAGATAAAGTAAAACAGGAAGTGATGGTTATTTCACAGCCATAGTATCATACATATGAGGTCAATTACTCAAAGGTCTGAAGACTTTTAAAGCACTTCAACATTTCTTGATTACAGCAACTGACAGCAATATGCAATAAACTACAACAATGGCAATTGACACTGATTACATTTTGATCAGTTCCTACAATTCAGAACTCATTTGTTACTGAGCTTGTCAGACAAGCCACAGATACATTCAAGAAATCAAATTAAGCACCCTGATTAAAGGTGCAATCCTTTATAACTAGGACTAAATAATTCTGTTCTAAAGCCTTTGCCAACCAATTACTTCAGTAACTGAATATTCTCTCTCATTAAATCAATTATTTAAATCTCATTTTAACATACAAGTCAGATAACATTTTCAATCAACTTGCTACCAGCAAACCACCTTTTTAAAATCCAAGAGGCTTCTAAAGGAAATCTTTTATTTCCAGCTTTCTACCAAATTATGATTCTGTATTTTGAGAATCATATTCTTTCCATGGAAAAATAAGCCATCATTCTAAATTCATGGAATAAAAAGCAGCTGTCATATCAGAAGCAAATGACTACATAGCGTCTATGTTACTCTCTCTTAAATTTTCACTGTTTTCAAATAGCTCAATCATCCCTAGCAGTCCTTTACAATGAGTAAATGCACTGGGACTAGGCAGAATTTAATAATTATTTGGGATTCAAACATGAAAATACATTTGGAGGGTTCATTCAGAATATATGATCTACCATAAGAAAGACAAAAACAATTTGCTTCCTTTCTGACCAAGGAAGGACACTTCACGGATTTGTTAAAAATCTGAACTAACAAGCACAGATAAAAAGAGCTGACTTTTTATTTGGGTGAACGTTTCACACTTACATAACCGCTGGTCATTTTTTTTGAAACTGAAAATCTGCAGTCCAACCTAAATGCAAAGTGCAATTTTATGCAGCTGCTAGCACCCTACTCAACACTGACTTAGGTCCAATTTTAAAGTACTTGAAAAAGCACAATGAATGGATGAATTTTGAAAATATGTCGTATAATAAAAAATCAGATATTTTTCAGCTACGTTAGTTCACTTTTTTCCCCAATCGATGCAACAAAGTTGTCCTACAAAGGAAACAAGGTAATGGTTTTCAAGTAAAACTCTTCTCATTTCTTGTTTTCTGTGGTTTTATGTGTGAAAATAAAGTCATCCAGCCCTTCTTGCAAATCAGATTTAGAAGTAACCACTGAGCTCACCAGACCACACAAGCTACTACCACATTTTCTCACAATTTCCTCTTCTCTTGCTCTGATGTTTTAAAGTAAAGTAGGGAAGGAGGAATAATGCGTAACAACTCTACCTCCTATCAGTTCTAATCTACCATGAACTATTGTAATTGCTAGTTACATTCCCACTCCATTTACTAAAAAATCATGACTCACCCAAAGACAACTCATCTGATATTTCTCCCTGCCTTTCCCAACTGTGCTGTTTCTACTTTACAAAAACAATAACAACTTCTACCAAATCTGTGCACCCTGTCTTAGAGGCTGCAAAAGGGAAGAAAAAGGCAGGCATCTGCTCATATGGGCATGTTCTTTCAGCACCTTAAGAAGCTTGGTCCAGGGAAAGGCTCAGAGGCTGCTGGAAATCCAGTGGACAGTTGCCTTAGGCTCCCAGAGGGGAAGACAACTAAGAATGCCCTCTCATCACCAGGTGGAGGAAGGCAGCTGCCTGCTCCTTTACCTGGCCTCGAGGAGAATAACTGCCTCTCTATTTAGACAATTTTGTATGGTCAATGTCATTGCTATTTCATGCCAGCTGGGAGATAGGAGAGAAGGAAAGAAGGGGGAGAAAATAAAGAGGATAAGGAGGGAAGAAAGGGCAGGAGAAGGAAAAAGGAGAGAAGGAAAATGGAAAGAAACATTTTTCTCTATTTTAATATGAAATATGAAGGGAAAAAACACACCAGAAAAAAGAGACAAATGAAAAAACAAGCAAGAGATTAAGCACATAATGTTTTAGAAATCATTATAAACTTTTACACGAGTAAAGAAGACTTAAAACACTTCAACAAACAATACAAAGTATTTTGTGTAAAAATGGCAATAAAAAATTCTAAAGTAAATAATTACCTCTCAAGAACTACAGAGAACTGGGTAAATGGCAGCTCTCCTCAAAAAATAGTACATGGCTTAGGACTGTTTCTCAAATACTTAAAAGTTAAATTATTTCCCATTTCTACAAAGACAACGCATTACAAACAAAATGTTCTTTGAAAAAAATTCAAAGTTGAAATAAACCTATAACCTTCAAGAATAATAATAATAAACACTAATTATTTTAAAAAGCAAAGTTAAAAATTGGGCAGACCCACACAATTTTTTCCTCTTCAGGATATATATGTAACCCAGTAACAATGCAGCAAAATGGGAAAGGTTGGAGAAAAATAATATCCCTAAGATTATGTAGACATGACTATTCAAAACTCTAAAACCCTTTTTTTGGAAAAGCCATTAAATTATTACCATTTGAGCACTCAATCTGGATAAAAGGAAAGAAATTAGGAAACATTAAATTGACTAGGAAACAGCAAGTAAATATATTTTGTCAAGGGCTAAGGTTTGTATTGGTAGCATAAGGTAATAAGAAAATGGTATTAATGCTAATGAAAATCCAAAGTTTTTGATTGATAATCTTAAATTCATAGTAGGAATTATTTATAGATTACTCAAAACAAAGGTATATTGTGTAACCCTCTTAAATGAATGAGGAGGTAACAAGTCAGTAACTGTCTCACATCAATTCTCTAACTTTCCTCTGTTTGCAGAGTGATATTACTGAAAACATAAGCATTTCCCTTGCCAGCAATATGTATGAGGTTGCGTCACACTTATGTCCTGGGCTTCTCTACTCTGAGGCTCATGAAAAGTAGAAACAGTTTCCCAGGTCATTAATTTTTTGAGGGTTTAGATATTTAAAAACACCTTGTAAGTTAAGGACTGGCTTGGGAAATTTCCCATGAGCAGAGCAAACTACCACGCTGAGTTGAGCAATGCTGTACACGTAGAATTTTATGAGATGACCAACAAATTTTTAGACAGCTTAACACTTCAAGGTGACCACAGAAAAACCCTTGTTCAAACTTTCCTTGAACAGGAACAAGATGATAATAAAAATAATGCCAGGTCCTTAGGATCAATTTACCACCAAAATGTGCCTTTCAGTCCGCATTTCCCATTCTGATATCAACATACTCCTCCAGTTCTAATCATCATAACACCATCTTGGAAATGAAAGAAGTGTTTCTAATTTTAAAATTAAGTAAAAGCAGATGCTGTAGTCCCATTAAATTCTTCCAGCTGCTACTGAACCACTGGCAACCTGAGTCTATTTAATTTGGAGACCACTAATGGTAAAAAGGAAAATCTGACTGCCAAAATTGCACACCGAAGTTAAACCAGAGAGGCAGAAAATGAAAACAGCTTATGGAAGCGAATGTATTCTAATAAGGCTCTCCAACTGATGATGGGCAATTTTTCCTGTGGTTAATAGCTTACAAAAGATTGTTGCTTATTAAATCCTTAATTCAAATATAGCCAAACAAGCAATCCTATCTGTAGCATGGCAGTTGATTTTATTCAACTTGGGTCATGCTTCCTAAAAATGAGTCTTTGCTATAATGCTTTAAGATGCAGACAGGTTGGAATGTATTCATAGCACACCTGAGGGCATTGTTAATATTGATTAATGGAAGTAAGATATCAAATAAATTAATACGTAGCAAGATCATAATGACAGATTGGTTTAATACACAGGCCCTCTAGCCTGATGAGTTATCATCACTCTTCAAGAGGCAGCCTGTTTTGGGGTGGGGGAGAAATGGAGTGTCTTACAGGTGGCAATGAACTGACAGCAGTGTGTAATGTAAAAGCGCTTTGTCATTCACATAACGTCTGGGGTAATGAAATGAATTCACTCTCTGGCTTCCTCTAGTCTGCGACGCCAAAGAACACTGTGTTATCAGCACAGATGGAGCATGCATGGTTCTGGAGGAGAGCCTGGTGTGAACTACAAACAAGCCACTGTGAATACCAATGAATCCCTGAGAATCAGACCCTTGCTGTCAAATGACAGTTTTGGAAGCTCCATAAAAATGAGCTAGTCCCAGTGGTCTTGTCCAACCAAATGTACTGTCACAATTGTGGACAGGCTATTTGGAAACCACGCAAAGCGCAGAGGCCTGACTGCCACTTCCCCGTGAGAAGCAAGCACAGGAAGACAGTCAACCAGGGGGTGCATTCTTTTTTCTTTCATTTCTTAGTAAGAGGTAACAGACAATCTATCAATCTATACTGATGCAAATACTAATCTACTTCTGTGGTTCAATTGTCTCTGCTCAGCAGAAAACTCCTGTAGGAAGTAGAGGAATGGAATCACAAGTATTCTCTACATTACTATGAAATATTAAGCTGTGAAATCAATGAACACATACAAATAACACATGGAAAAATGATTAGAAAAGAGGCATACCCATCAACATACTGAGAAGTCTCTGGACCTTTGAACTCACCCCTACAACTCTGTACAATCCTTGGTCATTTATACCTATGGGAAGAAACAAACTATTAGCAAAACAGAAGACTACTATATTTTAAAAGCCATCAAACAGTTGTATTCACAATCTTTGCTAACTAACATTAGCAGCATTCCTGTTAACTATAAAAATAACCTTTGAAAAAAGCAAGTATTTAACAACTCGTTTTACTAGCTTTTCATCTGTAAGTTGTGGTTAAAAAATAATCTCAGCAAACAATGTTCCATGTGGACAATAATGAAATGTCTCAACGTTAGTAAGTTAGTTAAGTATCATGGATACATTGAAATGAATACCAATCCAATTTTTAAAGATGCACTAAAACTTTTATGTTTATTGTATTTACTTGTTTACATATTCAAACATTTTAGCCTTTTAAAAATATGGCGATGATTAGTACACAGAAAGAAATCATTGTTTGGACGATTCTTGAAAACCATGGAAATTCATTCGAAACTAAAGCAAAACTGTAATTTTTTTAAAGTTGTTACAGGCCCTGTCCAGTGAGGAGCTCTGAAACTTCAAATCAATATCACCACAAAGTATACTGCAAAATGAACCAAATCAATGCATCCTCTCTCTCTACAGAGATCTGAAAACAAATTGTCCCTGAGAACAAGAGACATATAAAAGGTACTGTCAAACATAATTTGGTATGCTCAACAAATATCCTTATCATTTGGATTCTGATCTGAACAAATCAATGATGAAAAGACATTTTTGATGCAATTAGGAAACTCTGAGTGGCACCAAGGATATGTAAGAAAATCTCCATTTCTTTAAAGTTGCATCCTGAAAGGGGTGAAAGTAACCTTACATTTACTTTAAGAAGGAAAAAGGGATAGATGAAACAACTGTGGCAAAATCCTGATAATTATTGAATCTGGATGAGAATATGGGAGTTCATTATACCAACCTCTCTACTTTTTTACGCTTGAAAATTTTCATAGTAATGACTTCCAAAAACTGTGACTTATATTTACTTCTCAAACGAGTTGCAGCTTTCTGGCTGTGTGTTTATTTTTCTCCATTGTGAATGTTAAAGCTAACAAGAACACAACTGGCTGACAGGCAGATGATGCCTCTAATCCCCAAAGTTTCCAAAACAAAATAACACAACAAAAGGCCATGGAATTTGCCCACGAGGGTTTACTTTCTTTTCACCTCCCTGCTCGGAGCGATGAAAAGAATACTAGTCAGTCTAAAGAATTGGATTCGGCCGGGCGCGGTGGCTCAAGCCTGTAATCCCAGCACTTTGGGAGGCCGAGGCGGGTGGATCACGAGGTCAGGAGATCGAGACCATCCTGGCTAACACGGTGAAACCCCGTCTCTACTAAAAATACAAAAAACTAGCCGGGCGCGGTGGCGGGCGCCTGTAGTCCCAGCTACTGGGGAGGCTGAGGCAGGAGAATGGCGTAAACCCAGGAGGCGGAGCTTGCAGTGAACTGAGATCCGGCCACTGCACTCCAGCCTGGGTGACAGAGCAAGACTCCGCCTCAAAAAAAAAAAAAAAAAAAAAAAAGAATTGGATTCAAGTCAGTTCAGTCACCATGAGGAAGACAGGAAACCTCTTGGAGTCTCTGTGCTGTATCTGAGATCAAGGACTGCATCCTATACCCTATGTTATGCTGGGAGAGAAATGAGACAATACTAACACGTGTCCTATAGATGGTAACTCACAGCGCACACACAAAAGCATTCATTCTTTCTTGCCAAGTTTTGTCCCTTCTTTTTCTCTTTGTTTTTTTAAAAATTATAGTTACATATACTATTTTTTTTTAACTTTTAAGTTCAGGGGTACATGTACAGCTTTGTTACATAGATAATAACCCTGTATCATGGTATCATGGCATTTGTTGTACAGACTATTTCATCACCCAGGTACTAAGCCTAGTACTCACTAATTATTATTCTTGATCCCCTCCCTCTTTCGATCCTCCACCCTCTCATAGGCCCCAGTGTGTGTTGTTCTCCTCTATGTGTCCATGAGTTCTCATCATTTAGCTCCCACTTATAAGTGAGAACATGCAGGGTTTGGTTTTCTATTCCTGCATTACTTTGCTAAGGATAATGGCCTCCAGTTCCATCCATGTCCCGGCAAAGGACATGAACCTCGTTCCTTTTTAGGGCTGCATAGTAGTCTGTGGTACCTTATGTACCACACTTTGTTTCTTTTGGAGATGGAGTTTCACTCTTGTTGCCCAGGCGAGAGTACAATGGAGTAATCTTGGCTCACTACAACCTCCGCCTCCCAGGTTCAAGTGATTCTCCTGCCTCAGCCTCCCAAGTAGCGAGGATTACAGGCATGGGCCACCATGCCCAGCTAATTTTGTATTTTTAGTAGAGACAGGGTTTCACCATTTTGGTCAGGCTGGTCTCAAACTCCTGACCTCAGGTCATCCGCCTGCCTCAGCCTCTCAAAGTGCTGGGATTACAGGCAAGAGCCAATACGCCTGACCCCACATTTTCTTTATCCAGTCCATCACTGATGGGCATTTAGGCTGATTCCATATCTTTGCTATTGTGAGTAGGGCTGCAATAAACATACATGTGCGTGTGTGTGTATAATAGGGTGATTCATATTACTGGGTATATACCCAAAGGAATATAAATTCTCTTTGCTTTTTATTCTTTATTTTTTAAGTTTTGCAAATGTCCTATTTTTCCTTCTGTTAAAGGCTTAATTATATCCCCCCAAATTCATCTATTGACATCTTAATCCTCAGTACTTCCAAATGTGACTGTATTTAGAAATAGGTCTTGAAAAAAAAGGTAATTAAGTTAAAATGAGGTCACCAGGGTGGGCACAAATCCACCATGATTGGAGGCCTTGTAAGAAGAGATGAGGACACAGACATGTACAGAGGGGGACCACGGGAAGACACAGGGACAAGACAGCCACTCCCATGCCAGAGAGAGGCCTCAGAAGAAATCAACCCTGCTGATAGCTTCATATTGGACTTGTAGCCCCTAGAATTGTGAGAAAATTGATTTCTATTGTTTATCAGCAACCCCCATCCCCAATCTTTTAGGCACCAGGGCCCGGTTTCGTGGAAGACAATTTTTCCACTGACAGGGGTGGGGGATGGTTTCAGAATGATTCAAGTGCATTACATTTATTATTAGATTCTCATAGGAGCACACAATCTAGATCGCCACATGTGCGGTTCACAACAGGGTTTGCACTCCTATAACAATCTAATGTCCCACTGATCTGACAGGAGGCGGAGCTCAGGCCATAAGGCTCGCCCACTGCTCACCTCCTGCTGTGGGGCCTGGTTCCTAACAGGCCACAGTCTGGGGATTGGGGACCCCTGGTTTAAGTCACCCAGTCTGTGATACTTTATTATGGCAGCCCAAGCAGACTAATAATTACTCTCTATCTCATTAGAGCTTAAAGAACCAGAAGAGCAAAGGCTAGCCCTTAGTCTAAGTCTACTCAGAACTCTAAGGAGTCACAGCAGCAGAGGCACACCTTCCTGAAGGGGAGCGCTCAGTGACTACAAGGGAGGATAAGGAGGCCGCAAAGCCCTGCCAGGAGTTGGGAAAAAGAAATGGAAGTTGCCAAGAAACACAAAAATCAGAGACCTTTTGAGCCTGATACAGGAAAAAAGATTGAGCCTCATTCCTCCCTTCTTTTTGGAAGCCAGAAGGACATGTCCAGATGGTTTAAAATACCAGAGGGTTTCGGTACTACTCTAGTTAAGAAACCTAAAAATGTTTGACCTCGGTGGTAGAAGCCAAAAGAGCAAATCATACTCTGCATTCAAACAAACATGCCTCTGTGAAAAGGGCCTGAATTATATGGAAAGATGAAATAAGAACGCCACTTCGGCAATAATAATCACTCTGTGCCGGTAATTACTATCAAATAATTGATCAAGTTCAAATTCATCAACCTGAGAGAAGTAGAGTTAATTGCTAATGCATACTGAGAGGTGCAAGGGGGAATTAAAGCTACTCAACACAGTTTTTACATTTTTAAATGAAATTTAAATAAACCTTGCACAAAAGCAGCTTGGAAATAGCACGTAAAATACATACACTCCAGTCTTGTTGGATTTTCTATTTCTTGCTACACTGTTCTCAAAGGCTCTGAACTAAATGAGAGCTGGAACATTCTTTTTATCTATGAACACATATATGTTCATATAAAAGGCATCAAATACATTTTAAGGATATAAACCAACCAATATGCCAAGGCATAGCAGTGAGTTTATCATGTCCTTTCCAGCTTCTTTTCCAAATTTCCCTGTCAACCAAAGGGATCACTATTTCTGATCAACAAGTATTAGAAATTTGAGATCTTTAACTTCTTCCCTGTCACTTTCCAAATGCAACAAGTCAATGTCCACTCTTTCTTCAAACTTCAGACTAATTTCTGCCTCTTCAACACAGTCCTGAATTTCATGCACACACATTTATTATGGAATCCCTAAAAAGAAACACACAACTATAATCCATTCTGAACACTGTCTTCTATCTTCTTATTTTCAAACCACTATTATTATCTAACATCCCCTGGATCCCCATTTAAGAGCAAGCCTTCAGATCCAGCCCACATCCTCTAGCCTTAACAAGTATGTAAGGCACACACACGCACACGTCCATGCCGGGCCTCACCTCATCTTCCTACAGGGACTGCAGTGTATTCAACTTAATCACAACAGACGGCTTGACCATCACCCACAAATAACCAAGTTCATTGCATCCTCTGCGGCTACATTCAGGCTGAAGTCTCCCCAGTAGGAATGCTCTTCCCCTTCTCTTCACAGATTTATTCAACTGTCATATATTTATTCATCAGATATGTGCCAGGTGCTATTCTGGTTGCCCAAGATTCGACAGTCAGTAAAATTCCCATCTAAACCTTCAAAATCGGATAAAAATCCCCTTTTTGACACCAGCCCACAGTGACATTCCCTTCTTCTAAATATAACTCATAGTTAATTCCTTTTAACACTTGATTTAAGTATTTTTATTTTTAAGACAGGGTCTTGTTCTGTCACCC